GGCAGGTGAACGCCGTCTACCACGGCAAGGGCCCCGGCAAGAGTCTTAGCCTCAGTTTCTTCCTCAGCAAGCCCCTGGCTAGCGACCCGCGCCTGGGCCATGCTTCGCTGCCCATCGTGGCGTGGGCCAAGGCCGCGCAGTTCAACTCGGACCGCGCCGACCCACGGGCTCTCGGCAGCGCGTTCGCGGGGGCCCTGGCACGCCAGGGGGGGAGGGCATAGAGGCCCTGGCGGGCCGAGGGCCTGCAGTGGCACGCGCGCTGGCGTGCCACCGCTCGGGCTGGCCCGCTGCTCGACCAGGTCTCTTCCTCAACGGCCTGCAGCAGCCCGTGGACCTGAGGACCCTGGGCTCGTCTACGTTGACCAAGCGCATTGCTGCGAGCCACGAGCGGCCCCCGTGGCGGGACGCGGCCAAGCACCCTGGTCTCGAGCACCTGGCGGGAGGGGCGCACTCTCCAGCATGAGGCGCGTCCGGCACCGCAAGAGGATGAGCAAGCAGACGGCCAAGCAGATGAGCTCGGCCAACAACGCACTGGTAGTATGGCGCTGGCCAGTGGCTCGGCGCTTCGAGGCTGAGCGTCCGCTAGCATCGTCGCCCCGGTGCCCCCGAGGGTGTCGGGCGCGCGGCGCTGTGCGACACCTGGCCCGGCAGTGCCCCGCCACGGCACTCGGCCGCGCCGAGTGGGAGGCCAACGACGACGGCGACGAGAGGCGACCGCCAGACGACATCCACTTCAGGACCATCGTTGGCGTGGCCAGCACGAACGAGGCCGAGGATCATCTGTGGTCGCGGGCGCTCGCGCCAGAGCACAGGAGGTCTCTCCCACTGCCCGCGGAGGAGAGGGCGGCTCTCAAGGAGGGCCGCGGCGACTCGGTGGGGCAACCCCTCATGGGCGACCTGTTCACGGACGGCGGCGTCCTGGGCCCGAGCTTGGTCTCCGCTCGCGGCGGCTGGGCAGTGGTCGCCATGGATCAGGACGCGGAGGCCGTCAGCATATTCGGCCCGCTGCCCTGGCCCTACCCTCAGGAGTCGGGCGCGGCGGAGCTGCCCTCGCTTGAGACTGCCGAGGACCGCCTCCTGCCTGTCGTTCTAGGGGGCCTTCGGGTACTCCTTCGCCAAGCCTGCCATCCTGCCACTCTGCGTCCAGTAGCCGCACTTGACGCAGAAGAGCGGTTGCCCGCGCGCAATAGCTAGTGGGTCGCGCGGGCTGGGCCCCCGCCGCGGTGGAAGAGCTGGTGGGGGCGGGGGCGGCGGCTGCGCAGCGGGCTGTTCTCGTTCTCGCGCCGCCGCGGCCACGCCGCCGCTGCCAGCCGAGGCGCCGCCGTCGCCACCGTCACGGCGTTCACCGTCGTCTGCTGCAGCTCCGCGCGGGCCACTGGCCTGGCTGGAGAGGAGCACGGCGCTCGCGGCGAGGATCGCCGCGGCCGCTGCGACGGAGCCCGAGGCGCCCTCTGCGCCCGAGGTCCACGAACCCGAAATCGCCTCGCCACGCCCCGCGAACTCCTAGCAAGCCCAGGGCGTGTCTTTGCCGACCTCCAGCCACGTGCCGTGCCGACCGCACGTCATCCTTGGGCAGTCGCGGAAGCTGCAGTGGCTACTCCAGCGAAGCTTGCATCCGCGCTAGCCGCGCCGCACTGCTGCCATGTTTGGGCCGTCGTGGCCGCCCCCCGCCGTCAGCTCGGCGCCGCTTTCCTGCATAGCAGCTCCCAGTCAGCGGAAGGCCTTCCTTCCTGACTAGGCGATCCTGGCGCGGGCTGCGCGCGCGGACAGCCTCGTCCGAAGGGTGCAGCTGCGAGCCCTGAATGGCGCGCGCGTCGGCACTGTGGTTGCCCCGCCGCTGCCACGCGGTGGTGCGCTCGGCCTGCGCGTCCGCCAGCGTCGCGCGGGCCTTCACTTTGTGGAGTGTGATGTTGTCGATGCCGATGTCATCGATCACCGCCCATAGGCGCGCCCAGGGCTCCCTGTAGGGCCTCTGCCACTGGAGGCAACATCCCTTGCCCGCGTCGAAGCCGTCCACGAGCAGCCGGCAAACGGTGGAGATCCTGGCAGGGGGTATGCAGTTCTGGAGCCCCTTGATGGCGGCGGCTGCAGCCAGCGGGGCAGGGCAGCGTCGGTGACCCAGAGCCCTTGCGCCGCATGCGCAGGCGGATGGACGGCTAGCCAGCCTTGCCGACCTTGGGCCAGCACCATGCGCGTAGGTTCGCTCACGCACGGGATCGGGTCCGATGTCGATGGCAATGCAACAAGTCCAAGCGTGAGGCCTGGGCCATCAGGATAGTTGCGCTGCTGTCGGCTAGGTCGCTTCGACGTTGCTCGTAGGTTGCTTCTCGCGCGTGCATGGCTTAGGCTCGGTGCGCGCGCTCAGTTGCTTGCAGCTTGCAGCGGAGGCCAAACCAGGTGTGTAGGTTTGCCCACACGCGGGATCGGACTCCGATGCCAGCGGCACCGCAACCAGCAGAGGCCAGTGCCAAAGGACGGGATGCGATGCTGCGGGCGCTCCCTCTCTTTTCTAGCAGCATGGCTCCGTGCTTGGCGCTGCCTTCTGCCGCAGCTTCGGCTGCCTCTCTCGCGTGGCACGCTTCAGCGGAGGCTGACCCAGGTGCGTAGGCTCGCCCACGCACGGGATCGGGCTCTGAACCCATGGGACCAGTCCTAGTGTGAAGCCGGGGGCCTAGGGCCGAGTTGCTTTGCTGATGGTCAATCGTTTGTGTTGCGTGCCTCTCTTGCTTTGCTCAGTCGTGGCACGTTCGGTGCCTCCAGGCTCTGTCGCATGAGCGGGAGCTGAACCAGGTTTGTCGGGTCGCTTACACAGCATCGGGCTCCGATGCCATCGGCGGTGCAACTTTCCTGTTGGGGCTTGCCCTAGGGAAGCGTTGCGATGCTGGTGGCGAGGTGTTGTCCTGCGGCCGTTGCGCCCGACGCGCGCTTGCACTGCCTGGCTCAATCTGTCTGGCGCGAAGCGCCATTTCATATCAGCAGCACGACCGTGTCTTCTTTGCTGCACTTCACTGGCAGCACCAGGCTGCCCTTTTCACTGCCGCGACGCGTGCCTTCCGTGCAGCTCTGCCCTGAGCGGTGGCTTCGGAGGCTGACCCAGGGGTGAAGGTTCGCCCTCGCTCGGGATCGGGCTCCGCACCGTTGGCAACGCAACCGGTCTGTCTCAGTGGCCAGAGCCGAATTGACGGGTTGCTCTGCCCATGGGAGGTCAGTTGAGCGCTAGCCTTCGCATCGGCGTGCTAGCACGCCGTCCGTTCAATGTAGCTTCTGGCGCGCCGTGCGCGCCAGCTGCCCGCGCGTCTGTCGACGTGGAGGGCGACCTGAGAGCGTTGGTTCGCCCACTCTGGTTCGATTTCCGCAGGCCTGAGGAGCAATCGCGTCAGTCGGAGTTGCCTGGGGCCTTGGACCTGGTTGCTTTTCAGGCGCGGTGCGCAGCAAATCTGTGTACCAGCCCGCTTGACCGCGCAGCGTGGCCTCTGCAAGCTGCCGTGCGGGCTGAGTCGCTCCGACTGCTGGGATCGAACATCCGCTTGCCTCGGCTGAGGCGGCTGATTGCTCTCGGCATTCGGACGAATCTGCGAGTGCGCGCCTAGGCGCACGTGACCGAGCGTTGTCACCGCAGGGCCAAAGGGAAACGCCTCGGTCCGAGGGGCAGTACGAGCTAGGAGCTCCTGACCCCGTCAAACGCGGGGATCATCATCAGCAGCATCATCATCATCAGCATCATCATCATCAGCAGCAGCATCATCATCACCACCATCATCATCAGCATCATTATCCTCTTTTCCCTCGTTCAGTTCCGTAGCGGCTTGGAACGCGCCCGTCTGTGGGGAAAGTCGTGCGCCGCAGATGCAGAAAAGGTGTGGGGCAGGAGCGTCTCGGCGGCGCGGCGAGCGCGTCCCCCGACGGGGAGGCGGCCCGCGGCGCACCACGCGCGGAGGCTGGGGCCGCGGCCGCTGGGCAGCAGGCCGCGCCTCGCGCGGAGCGGCCATCCCCGGGTCTGGCGGCGGCGCGCGGCGCCAGCGCCGCGCCGCGTCCCAGCTCGGCGACGCGCGCGCGCTCCGCCCCGCCCGCGGGGGCCGCCTGCGCGGCCGACGCGCGCGCCTGGCGACGGGCGAGAGCGCGCCCGCGGCGAGCGCTCCCGAGGGGCGGCCCGCGGCGCCGACGAGGAGGGCGAGTGCCCTCGGGGCGGCCCGCGACACCGCGCCTGCGGCGAACGCCCCCGGGGCGGACGGCGCTGGCTGGGCGCCGCGGCCGAATCTACGCGCCGCGGCTGGCAGCGCTTGGCCCGGGAGGCAACTGGCGCCGCGGGCGGCCGCCGGGCTGACGGCGGCGCGGGGCCTGGCGCCGGGCGCCCAGTCCCGACGGCGGCAGCGGGCGTTGGCGACGCCGCGGCGATCGCCTCTCCGGGCGCCGCCGCGCCACCCGCGAGCGCTTCCCCGCAGGGGGGGGCGGCCCGGGTCGCGGCGCCAGCGAGCGCGGCGGTGGAGCTGCGGGCGCTTGCCTTGGAGTGGTCCGCGCAGGGCCCGCCCGCTGGGCGTGTCCATGCGGGGCAGGCTGGGCGAGGTCCAGCAGCGGCGGAGCTCGGCGACGCGGCGCTGCGCCGCGTCGTGGCCTTGGCGGCCGCGCACGCTGCGCCAGCCTACGGGCAGGCGTAGGTGCTTGTGGACTCGCTGGCGCCAGTTGCGCCTGCGCTGTGGCCACGGCGGGGCGCGTTGCGCGGCCGCACCTCCAGCGGCGCTGGGCCCCCTGAGGACCCGGGCGCGCGCCCGGCGCGTGTTCCCCTTCCCGCTCCCCCCCCTTTCCCCCCTTCCCTGCACTTGTCGTCCGTCGTTTTCGTCGTCGTGTCGCGTCGTCCCCCTGCACTCTGCCGTTGGGCTTTACTCGTTGATAAAATGTGGGACAGGAACGTCCCTATCTTCCTCGTCCTCCTCCTTTTCCTTCTCCTGGGGTCGATGGGAGGGGGTGTCCTCCAAAGCCGCGCGCCTGATCCCGAGCACCAGGTCATCGCCCAGCACGACGCCGAGGTACAGCGGCTGAGGAGCAGGTGCCGTGGCCGCGGATGCCGAAAGAAAAGGAAGGTATGGAGCAGGATGAGGACGGCGACGACGAAGACGACGATGACCACGACTATGACGACGACGACGACGACGATGACCACGACGACGCCCACGACGACGACCACGCCGACGCCGACGCCGCCGACGCCGCCGCCGCCGACGACGACGACGACGCCGACGACGACGACGACGACGACGACGCCGACGACGACGACGACGACGACGACGACGACGGGACGACGACGACGACGTCGACGACGACGACGTCGACGACGGCGACGACCACGACCACGACGACGACGACGAGCACCACGGTGACGGTGACGACGACGCCTACGCCGACGACGACGCTGACGCCGACGCCGACGCCGACGCTGACGCCGACGCCGACGCCGACGCCACCGCCGACACCGCCGCCGCAGACGACGCCGACGACGACGACGACGACGACGACGACGACGACGACGACGACGACGACGACAACGACGACGACGACGACGACGGGACGACGACGACGACGACGACGATAACGACGACGTGACGGGACGGAGGGCGAACATCATCAGCGGCAGCGGCAGCGGCGGCCGAAGCGGCAGCACTCGAAATAATGTAGAGTGGGCGTCAGCGGCAACGACAGCGGCGGCGGCGGAAGCGGCGGCCAGAGCGGCAACACTGGGCGTTGGGGAGGCGGAGGCCTGGAAACGGTTCCTGGAGGCCTGGAACACTGGGAGCAACCCAGGAAAAGCAGGGCAGAGGCGCACGGGTGGGTTCAGGAGCCTTAGGAAGCCGAAGAGGAGGAGGAGGAGGAGGAGGAGGAGGAGGAGGAGGAGGAGGAGACAGGAGAGCCATAGGAGGCCGAGGAGCCTTAGGAGACATATTGGCCGACGAGGACGATTAGGAGGAGGAGGGGGAGGAGGAGGAGGAGGAAGAGGAGGAGGAGGAGGAGGAGGAGGAGGAGGACGTCTTTGGGACGTCTTTTGAGGTGGGGGGGGCGCCCGTGGCGCCCCCCCACCTGACCACGAGCGACGTCTGGCGCTCTCTCGCGGCGTCCGCTGGCGTAGCGCTGTCGTCGGCCCGCGCCACTAGCAGAGCGCCGGGGCCCTCCCCAGGAGCGAGTGCCGCGGCGAGCCTCCCGCCCGCGGCCGGCGGCCGCCTGCGCCGCCGTGCGCGTGCCGGTGCTGCGGCCGCGCTGCATCTCAGCGCCTGCTCCGCCCAGCCGCTGCTGGGGGCGGCGCCGCCATCGTGCGCATCTCGCCGTAGCTGACCCTGTAGTCCCCGTCCGCGTCCAGCGCGATGACCATCGCCTCGGCAGTCGCGATGCCCAGGTGGCCGCTCGCGCTGAGCAGTTCGTCGGCGTCGATGTGCTCGTCTCTGTTCAGGTCCCATTCCCCGAACAGCTCTCGCGCTGACAGCTGGGACAGCGTCCTGCCCCTGCCGCGCGAGTCCCCGTTGTCCAAGTCCGCCAGGAACGCTTGCAGCGCTCTGACTTCCAGAACGGCGTCAGCAGCGATAGCGTGGGTGGCCGCGGCGCCGTCGTGCAGGTAGACGTCTGGCGCCGGCCCCGCCGCACGGTCAGCCACTTGCCATCCTCGCTCGCCAGGGCGCGTGACAGCGGCGAGGCTGAAAGCGAGCAACAGCAAAGCCGCCACTGCTGCCCACGGTCCGCCGCTCCCAGCGTCCTGTTCGTGCTGCGCATTCTGCTTGGCGTAGGAGTGCTTCCGCTGGTCCGCGCGCTTCTTGTGCGCGCGCCGCTTGGGGGTTGTTTGTGCGGCCCCCCACCGCGCCTGGACCGTCGGCAGGTCGATGGTGCTCACCTCCGCCTCGTTGATGTGCTGGTGCCTGCCCTGGTCGCCCTTGCAGCTGTCCTCGCCGTCGGGCTCCGGTTCCTTCTCCTTCTCGGCGTTGTCGAGCTCAGGGGTTGTTTGTGCGGCCCCCCACCGCGCCTGGACCTTCGGCAGGTCGTTGAGGCGGTCCTCCGCCTCGTTGTTGTGCTGGAGCCTGCCCTGGTCGCCCTTGCCGCTGTCGTCGTCGTTGGGCTCCTTCACCTTCTCCTTCGCGGTGCCGTCGTGCCCAGGAGTTGTTTGTGCGGCCCCCCACCGCGCCTTGACCATCGGCAGGTCGTCGGTGCTCGCCTCCGCCTCCTTGACGTGCTGGTGCCTGCCCTGGTCGCCCTTGCCGCTGTTCTCGTCGTAGGGCTCCTTCAGCTCCTCCGCGGCATCGTCGCGCCTGGGGTTGTTTGTGCGGCCCCCCACCGCGCCTGGACCGTCGGCAGGCCGTTGGTGCTCTCCTCCGCCTCCTCGGCGTGCTGGTGCCTGCCCTGGTCGCCCTTGCCGCTGTCCTCGTTGTAGGGCTCCTTCACCTTCTCCTTCGCGGTGTTGTCGTGCCAGGAGTTGTTTGTGCGCCCCCCACCGCGCCTTGACCATCGGCAGGTCGTCGGTGCTCGCCTCCGCCTCCTTGACGTGCTGGTGCCTGCCCTGGTCGCCCTTGCCGCTGTTCTCGTCGTAGGGCTCCTTCAGCTCCTCCGCGGCATCGTCGCGCCTGGGGGTTGTTTGTGCGGCCCCCCACCGCGCCTGGACCGTCGGCAGGCCGTTGGTGCTCTCCTCCGCCTCCTCGGCGTGCTGGTGCCTGCCCTGGTCGCCCTTGCCGCTGTCCTCGTTGTAGGGCTCCTTCACCTTTCCCTCCGCGGCGTGGTCCCTAGGGGTTGTTTGTGCGCCCCCCCACCGCGCCTGGACCTTCGGCAGGTCGTTGAGGCGGTCCTCCGCCTCGTTGTTGTGCTGGAGCCTGCCCTGGTCGCCCTTGCCGCTGTCGTCGTCGTTGGGCTCCTTCACCTTCTCCTTCGCGGTGCCGTCGTGCCCAGGAGTTGTTTGTGCGGCCCCCCACCGCGCCTTGACCATCGGCAGGTCGTCGGTGCTCGCCTCCGCCTCCTTGACGTGCTGGTGCCTGCCCTGGTCGCCCTTGCCGCTGTTCTCGTCGTAGGGCTCCTTCAGCTCCTCCGCGGCATCGTCGCGCCTGGGGGTTGTTTGTGCGGCCCCCCACCGCGCCTGGACCGTCGGCAGGCCGTTGGTGCTCTCCTCCGCCTCCTCGGCGTGCTGGTGCCTGCCCTGGTCGCCCTTGCCGCTGTCCTCGTTGTAGGGCTCCTTCACCTTTCCCTCCGCGGCGTGGTCCCTAGGGGTTGTTTGTGCGCCCCCCCACCGCGCCTGGACCTTCGGCAGGTCGTAGGTGCGCACCTCCGCCTCGTTGTTGTGCTGGAGCCTGCCCTGGTCGCCCTTGCCGCTTTTCTCTGCGTAGGGCTCCTTCTCCTCCTCTTGCTCGGCGTCCTCGTCGTAGGGCCCCTTCTCATCCTCCTGCCCGGCGTCCTCGGAGTCCGCGCGGCAGGAGGCGTAGTCCAGGCCGTCGTCTTGCTGCGTCCATGGCGCTCGGGCTCCGTCCAGCTCGGCCGCCTTGGCCCCAGCAGCGGGGCAGTCATCCCCCGTAGGGGCCCGTTCCGCGCCGCCGCCCGCCGCCGCCGCGGGCGTCGCTGTTGGGCCTGTGGGTGGCTCCGCGACCAGGCCCAGCGCCGCCAGCAGCCCTGAGACCTGCTCGGCCTCCGCGCCCGCGTCGCTGGCCCAGCCTGGCGCCTGCTTGCCCTCCTGGTGGTGCCAGCCGCCTTGCAAGTCCTGGCTGCGCAGCGGCACGAAGACCTCCGCCTCGGCGCGCAGCCCTGCGAGCTCCGCAGGGCCGCCGAAGCTGGTGCCGTCGCGCTCCGCCTGCAGTTCCAGGAGCGTGCCCAGCAGCTGCCCCAGCTCGGGGATGAGCGAGGTGAGCCGGTGGCCGACGTCGCCGACCCCCTGCTGGGCCTGTGAGCCCGCAGCGAGCTTCTCCTTCAGCTGGTCCTTCTCAGCGGTGAGCTTCCCGATGGCACAGTCCGCCGCCCGGCGGGCACGTGCCCTGCGAAGCCGCCTCTCCGCCGCAGAAGTCCTGGGCGGGCGCCCACCACCTGCCGCAGGGGCGCCACCTTCCGCTCGTGCCTCGTGACCGTCGTCGTGCCGCGATAGCTTCCGCAGGCGCTCTGGGCCCCCCCCTCAGGCCACGGGGCGCGGTGGCGCAGCGGACTCCCGCCTCGCCCCACGCCGGCACGCGTGTCGCAGGCGGCCAGCGTGGAGGCGCCGGGCAGCCGCAGCGCCGCGCCTCCGCAGCAGGCCAGCGCCCGCCGCCTCGGCACAGGGTCCATGGGCCGCCGCGGGCGCCTCGCCGCGGGCTGCAAGGCTTGAGAGGAGGAGGAGGGAGGAGGAGGAGGAGGAGGAGGAGGAGGAGGAGGAGGAGGAGGAGGAGGAGGAGGAGAGTAGGAGGCGGGGGAGGAGGAGGAGAGTAGGAGGGGGGCGAGGAGGAGGAGGAGGAGGACCAGTGTGAACCCAAGAGTCATCAACGATGTTTGTTTGAACCCCCCCTTCCAAGCTCTCTCTCCCTCTCTCCCTCTCTCTCTCTCTCTCTTCATAGGCCCCTACAACGGTTCATTTCCATTGACGGAACTGCCGCGTTGGAAGACACCCGTTTGAAGACCCTGAAGCATGCCAAAACATATCTCTCGGGATTCCAACGCCACGGATCGACCTGACTGTTGCGTCTTGACGATCTTGAGCCGAGCCAGAACGCCATCCTTAGGACGCCAACACAGGGAATCAACGTAACTGTTGCACCCGCATAATCTTGAGCCCTTCCAAAAAGAATCATTTCTGGTACGTTGGTGATGGGCATCAGTGAAACTCTTGCAAATTGTTACCACGAATGCGCGCGGCGCGAAGGCGAGAGCCACATGTTGAAGTGGAACCGCCCTTATTCTGTGAAACTCTTGAACATTGTTTTGAAAAGAATGTGCGCCACGCTAAGTCGAGAGCCACATGTTGAAAACGATTCGCCTTTAATCCGTGAAGGTCTCGCAAATGTTTAAAACGAATGTGGGCCGCGCTTAGGCGTGAGCCACATTTTGAAATCGACCCACCCTCAATCCGTGCAACGTTTGCAGTTTGTTTAACAGAATGCGCGACGCGCTTAGGCGTGAGCCAGATGTAGAAAACCTCTCGCTCTCTATCCGCGAAACTCTTGCATGTGTTGTTAAGCATGGGCGCCGCGCTAAGGCGAGAGCCACATTTTGAAAACGACCCCCCTCCATCTTTTGAAATGTTGCCCATGGTTCCGCTTCAGAGTCATAAATGGTGAGGAGGTCTCAGGCGAAACGCCCGGCCCGCCCTCAAAATTGGCCTCGTGGAGCGATCATGAGGATTAGTTTATAAGGAAAAGGAATGGAGCCGGATCAGGAGCAGGAGTTGGGGTAGGAGGAAGGTCATTGGCGCAGCTCGCCACCCACTCCCTTGCTCTCTCCCTCTCCCCCCCTCCCCCTCTCCGATCCCTCTCCCCCCTCCCCCCTCGGATTCCTCTATTGCCCCCCCCATCTTATCCCTCTCCCTTCCGCTCCCTCCCTACCTCTCCCACCCAATTCCCCCCTCCCGCAAGCATAGAGCTCTGCAGGTGACGGGCTGTCGGATTCGTTCCTTGTTGGAGCGCAGTCCAGTCCATTTCCCGATTCCCCTTCCATCTCGTCTCCCCTTCCCAGTTCCCCCTTCCGCAATTACTCAACATGAACTCTGTCGTTAGCCAGCGTGGACCCCAGACAATGACGTCCTGAAAATATATGCGGTGCAATCTAGGTAGTGCAATCAATGATCCAATGTGGTGCAACCTAGTTGGCGCAATCCATGTGGTGGAGTCTATGTGGCGCGAAGCCATGCAACGCAACGCAGCGCACGTCAAGACAAAGCAATTCAAAGCCATGCAACGCAATGCGAGTGCAAGGCAATGCACAGCAATGCAAACCTATGCAAAACAACGCCACGCAATGACAAGCAATGCGAAGCAATGCGAAGCAAGGCAAAGCAACGAACATCGAAGCAAAGCACAGCAGCACGAACAATGCGAAGCAAAGCTAATCAATGCAATACAATGCAAAGCAACGCAATGCAAGCATTGCAAAGATACGCAATGCAATGCAACGCACGGTTACACAACGCAATGCAAAGTAAAGCAGGCCCAGACGGAGGGGGAGCGGAGACGGAGACACCATGGCCGACTACGTCCTGAATGTATCCCGCCCTCTCCGTGCATCTGCGTTTCGCAAAGATGATTCCAGACATGTTTATTTGTCATACGTACTCGTTTGCGCTTGTAGCGTCTTCGGTGTTTCAAGATGGTGCTCCCGCTGGACCGTGGGCATCATTACATGATCGGCGCTGTGCTCAAGAGCTCGCTCAGGGAGCCCTGGGCGTTTGCGCTCCCTCACGCTTGCCTCGCTGAGCCTGAAACGCTACGGATGACATCAGCGGTGATGCTCCTGCCCTCCCACAGTCTACGCTGTTCCCTCCTCCGTGTTGTCCTCCCGGTCCCACCCACCCACCCTGCGAGGCAGCAGGAGGTCGAGAAAGAGAAGGCCCGGCCGCTTCGACCGGCCTTCCTGCGCCGGGAGCCCTCCCTCCGCCCACCCCTGCCTGGAGGGTGGCATCTTTGCGGGGGGTTCTCTTGCGTGGGGTCGATCGCGTCCCTCCTCAGAGGGTCGGGGAGGGTTGGGAGGGGGCCAGGGTGTAAGGGGTGATAGGAGCAGGGAGGGGTGGGAGGGGTGGAAGGGGTGGAAGGGGAAGGGGTGAGCGGGGGAGGGGTGGAAGGGGGAGAGGAGGAACGGGGGTGATGGGACGGGTTGGAAGGAGGAGGGGAGGAAGGGGTGGAAGGGGTGGAAGGGGGAGCGGCGGGGGAGGAGGGGTGGAAAGGGTGATATGGGCAGGGGCCAGCACGAACCAGGGCGGCGTGCAGATGGGGGCCTTTCCTAAGTTGACCCCTGCACGGCTGACAGGGGGAGGCCTTGGACCTCCCCCCTTCCAGAGGGGGGCCCCAGCCGGGCGGGAGAGAGTGCTGCCCCCCGAAGGGTAAGACCGCGGAGGAGAAGAGGGAAACAGGAGAAATAGCATGCGAGGGAGAAGGCGGCGGCGGAGGCAGAGATGGAGGAGAAGAAGGAGAAGGCGGAGATGAGGAGGTTGAGGAGGAGGAGGAGGAGGAGGAGGAGAAGGAGGAGGAGGGGGATGG